AGGTATTATTTGGGATGTAGTACGAAGACTAAACATGAAAATATGGGAGCAATACATAGCACAATATGCAAACTTCTAGCTTTATATCTCAAAGTAAAGTAAAGAAAGCCATTCCTTACAAAAACAAAGTCCATAACTTACAAGTATCGTGCAGAACAAAATTCGAAATACCAAAACGCTAATAACTAGCCGTAGGCATTAGAATACAGAATACAGCAGCGAATTTCTACATTCATAATAACGTTGAGCATAACATGCACCTCAACAGAAAATTGGGATGAATTAAGAAAATTAGCTCAAATTATCGTGTGGTGGTAGTGATGTGCGAGATTCTTAGTGATATCGATAGTCCGTAAGCACCAGGCGGTTACTTTGTCGATAATCGTGACGCATGTTCATGTTTCTCGGCTAGTAACATAGGTACTGCGGAACTGTTTTCATAGAATATACATAGGATATTGGCAGACTGCCAATAAAACAGGTATGAAAATAAAACTAAAGGATTAGATTAGAATTAAAGATGAACATTGGTAGATGTATCTTGAAATAGTTATATTTTGAAAACCTATAATTTAATGAGCTGTCAAAGTGCTGTTCTTGGATCATTAAAATTTAACAAATCATCTTAGACGGATAAACAAGCACAATATTATTACTAATAATTTATTATCACGCCACTATCGATAAAATGAAAGTCAAATCCTTCGCATCACTGATGGATGCTGAATGGTGGCTGCCCTTTGGGATCCATTAAAGCACTCCATAGGCCCTAAGGCCACCATTGCGTGACAGGGAATATTAATAATTACACTATAATGATTCGTCGATCGCTGCTGTTTATGCAAGAAAAAAATGATAAGAATTAAAAAGAAATTTGCAATGTGATGAACAAGTTCCCAGAATGCAACTGTGGGCGGGTCGTGGGAAAATAATATAATAATGCGTTCTACGAAGTAAAACAATGGATTATCTACTGTTATGAGGAATCGAAATTTCGATGTAATTGTAAAGGCTGATGTTGTTTCAGAAAATTACTTTTTTGTATAACAACGCTGTTAGCAAGGAGCCACGTAATTTTATTTTGCTATTTTATTGCTTTTTTTTCAAATATTATAATAATAATGAAGGCTGTATTTTCAAAGGTTTTTTTTTTAACTTTTTACGTTTTATGGGATTTATTTGTTTTTTAAAATGGTTTTCCCAATGATTTTTACCTACGGAATATTCTAAACTTTACCATTTACTTTCTAACAAGTTTCCAAGGCATGCTCTGATCATCCCACATTCTCGCCATGGTATTTGGTATAAGTACTAGTACTTATGTTACTACATGTAGTACAAATAGGATAGCCTAAACTCCTTTGACATTCTAAAAACAAAATGCCATCGAATGTCACCATCCAAAGCCTACACTGTCCACAAAACCAGACCACTTGACAAGCGTCGCCATAAACCTTCGTAATTCAAGCTCAAGCGCACGTCACGACGCGTAGAGCTGACCGAGCTCGGCAACTCGCAACAAAACAACGCGGTGCCCACGCCTTGACGGTAACCCGATCCGCGGCGGATGCGTTTAACACCGCCGTATCGATGCAGTGCGGGCCTTAGGCGGAGCGGCGAGCGGTGAAGACAAGAGGCTTCACATTGATGGCAATAGATGGCGCTGTATCAAGATAGATACGCGCAAGCGTTTAAACAGCTATATCGATGCAATACTCTGTTTAAGGCGGAGCGGCGAGCAGTAGTGAAGAGGACCACGAAGAAAAAACCTCACCAAACCATTGGGGGGTCTCTAGAAGCTGAAGAGGCTGGTTCGAGAGCGAGCCGTCGCCTAAACGGTACTGCGGAGCACTGTCCACGTTAGCATAAATAACTCATGGCTCCGTTTCATTACTCTGGTAAACACTGTCGGGTTTCAGAGGGTAGGTGCGGGGAGAATCCCACATAACTCACTGGAAGACCACCCGCATTAAGCAGAAAAAAATTGGTAATGATTATTATTTTCACTCGTGCCAGTAATTATTTAACTTGACAAGTGTACTAAGCGTGTACTATATTGCAATTGAAGGAGACATTCAAGCCTTTGGCGTCGCAACCTGATACAATATAGCGGATGCATTCGCACCGGCGATGTCGCGTGAGTGCCCAGCGTTAGCGGAGCGATGAGCGATGCCCGCTTTGGCGATAGTTTTGCAATGTTAGGTTTGGTTTACATGGATTTAAATTGGATGAAGGTCAGAGCACACGTTTTAGCTTATGTTGTCAAACTTGATGGTATCTACGTAAACAAACAGGTGTAATTTGTGTTTAACTGCAATGTAACATAGCTGCGCATATGATTCGTTTTGGCCGGTAGGCAGCTGTCTTCATCCAACACCTTCCTGCAATCTTTATGAAGTCATCTTTGCAACTTGTTCATCACTTCCATTTCAAAACCTTGCTGCTCTATCTACCGTTATTGTGTGCTATATTCTCTGCCCATAGTGACTAAAGCTTTCTAATCTGTCGGGCTATGTAAACCTATTTATCTAACCTATTATATGAATCTGTCATTATTTTGTAAATATATCAGTAAAAAAGAAGACCTCATCTTTCGTTCCTAGGAAGTTCGTAACTTCGATTCAAATACATACTTCAGGTATTTTTTTGCTTTCTTTCTTACACCTGTTACCTGCATTATTTTAATCTGCCTCCAAGTAAGCCGATTCGAAGGTAGAACGGGTGTAATCTCCCCGCGAGTGCGGAGTGTGACGCACTCCGTGCGCGTAGATAGTGCTCTATTACAACGTTTCATTATTTTGTAAATTGATTAGTAAAAAGAAGACCTTGTCTTTCGTTCCTAGGAAGTTTGTAACTGCGATTCAAAAACATACTTCCTTTTTTTTCTTTTTCTTTTAAACCTGTATTAAGTACTAGCTTTCCGCCCGCGGCTTCGCCCGCGTGGAATTTTGTCTGTCACAGAAAAACTTTATCGCGCGCGTCCCTGTTTCAAAAACCGGGATAAAAACTATCCTATGTTCTTTACCGGGACTCAAACTATCTCTATGCCAAATTTCATCAAAATCGGTTGCGAGGTTTAAGCGGGAAAGCGTAACAGACAGACAGACAGACAGACAGACAGAGTTACTTTCGCATTTATAATATTAGTTGGGATTAGTTGGGATGTTAAAATTTAATCTGTTTCCATGTAAGCCGAGTCGAAGTTAGAGCGGGTGTAATCTCCCCGCGAGTGCGGAGTGTCACGCACTCCGTGCGCGTAGATAGTTAGCCGCGCACTTACGTGGGACATAAGTTTCTTTGGATAAATTATTCAAAGGATAGGGTTTGCTGTAAGAGATATAGGTTATATTTGGAAGACATGCATGGTTGGGTATGGGAATGGGAGGTTAGAGTACATATAGATATGAGCACGTAAGAAGTAGGAAGAAATAATTTATTAAACAAGGACAAAATAATAATCAGTAATAATATTATGAGAAATACTTATATTTATGTCATACTATAGCGGCCGCCCGCGACTTCGTACGCGTGGATCCCGTTTTACCCCCATAGGGGCGGAGTTTCGTGAAATCCTTTCTTACCGGATGCCTACCTCATAACATCTGCCTGCATGCCAAATTTCAGCCCGATCCGTCCAGAGTGGTTTGGGCTGTGCGTTGATAGATCACTATGTACTATATACTATTCTATTCTATTCTATGTCAGTCAGTCAGTCAGTCAGCCACCTTTGAGTTATATATTTTGTCATATTGTAAAAAAATTTACACAAAACTATATATGAGGTAAAAAGCATTTTGACATTATAACTAGGTACACCTTAAAAATCGTATAATAATTACGTAGGTACTTCTATAGCGCTTTACACTACACGGTTGATATACCTTTTCTCAAGAAAATACTCTTCTTTTTCACTTCCTCATGATGAAGGCGTTAATATTTTCAAGCCACTATTAGAGCAAGGGCTGTCCCTCACTCTTCCCTTAATATCGAGTAGGTAATAGGTATTCTTAAAACATAATATGTATTTCCATAAACGCAAATCGCTCTCTACCCCACACAGCACTCACCACGGCGACCCATCCGCCTGCTCGCGTCATGAAAACTGATACTTTAATATCCGATTCATTGTTCTGTTACAAATTTGTCAGTGATCTTAACATTAACCTTTTTCTTTTAATTCTGAGATGGTCTCATAATCCCCGTGAGGCAATCGCTTGTGGGTGACTTTTTTCTTTGCTTAGCACGGCTTTGGGTAAATCTTCGTCACGTTGGATGAGACCACCAGCAGGGTAAGGGAAAGGCAGTGGGCTCATTTTGGACAAAATTAGTAGATGTCTAGGTTATGAAGATAAATTATATGTACAACTGCTGTTGTGTCAATAAGAGAGACTAAAGATAACGTCTTAGCAAAATAGCGAATGTGACGGTAGTGCGAATAATATAGAAGATTAGACTAGATACCTAGTAGCAAGCATTGAGATAGTTCAATGTCCAAAAATGGACCAAGAGAAGCTCATGATGCGTAAAGTGAAATGGATTTAGGGTCGTTTTAATTTTATACGTAATCTGTCGCTCTAATAAAAAAAACTTTTCTGAAAATCTCATAAATTCACTTCTCCATAATAACGTGCAAATTAGAATCTCTAAAACAATTAACGGTAATTAGTTAGTTAGTTAGTTAGTTTTGCAGGGCAATCGAATGTCGCACTTAGCCTCATGATAGGGCCATTGTGCGCGATTTGTGGTTTATCTTCCTACTCCAACCACCCCAGATCCCCCCAGAAGGCGAGCAGCCCGTCCAGGCTGCTGCAGGCTTCCTGTAGCGACGACGGTGATCGAAGAAATTGAGCCCGTTGTTCTTCCACGCTACTGCACTCCATGAGCACATGCTGCGGTGTTTCCTCTGCCTCCATGCACCCCCTGCATAATGGGCTGTCTGTGACACCTATGTTGTATAGGTGCTTGTTTAGCATACAGTGTCCGGTTATGACACTTAAGACCTTGCGGATGCTGTCCCTGTTTAGTCTGATGAGGCTGCGGGAGAACTTTTTCGATACGTCCGGAACCGCATCTTTTGTTTGCCTGCATCCTTCGCTATTTTTCCATTCTGTGTGGTGTTTTTCTTCTGTTTTGGAACGCAGCCAGTTCCTGATCTGTGCTTGTGGTATCGGCAGTATTGGTTCCGGGCCAAATACTGTTGTGTCCGAACCTCTTTTTGCCAGTTCATCCGCTGCGTCGTTGCCTAAAGAGTTACTGTGCCCTTTGATCCATTGCAGGGTAACTCCATTTACAGCTGCAATGTCTTGGAGCGCTTCATGGCATTCCAATATAAGGGCCGTTGTTATTGTGTTGCTTTTTAGCGCTTGCAGTACGGATGCACTATCCGAGATAATTCTTATGTTTAGACCTCGGATGTCTCTGGCTGTTACCGCCTGTGCTGCTTTGGTAATTCCAATGCATTCTGCTTGGAAAATTGTATTGTGTTTATCTAAAAGTTATGAGGTTCTGAAAAATTAAAAAAAAGTAAGTAAAAGTGACTTTTTTTTGGAATATCTTTTAAGATTTAACAAAAATATAAAGATTTTATACGTTAATAATGTAAATTAACCTTAAATTACTGCTAAAAACACATTTTAATAAACTTAAAAGGAATTAAATCAGCGATTTTTTTTTCACAATTTCTGTTTAAAAAAAATACCTGTCGATAGGGTATGTTATTCTGATGAATAAATATTATGAACGTTTTTCTCTAAAACCAATAGTTTGGCTGGAAAAAAATATTTTCCATTTTCGTTGTATGGAATGAAACATAAAGTTGTCGATTTCGATTAAGCCTTAACAGATTTTGCTTTGAAACTACTTGAGCCTTGTTTTATGGCTTGTTGACTGTAATCCTACGCTATCAGCGCGCATCCAAAGTTGCCCGTTCACAAGTTATGAGGTTCTGAAAAATTAAAAAAAAGTAAGTAAAAGTGACTTTTTTTAGCTACTACGGAATCTGATCCGCTTCTTGTAGTGCTTCTTTGCTTCTTTGTATTTGTTCCAGTCTTCATTGGTTCTGGTGTTTTTCGCTCGGTTGAAAAGTGTCCTGAGTTTTTTCCGAAGGCGTTCAAGTTCCGGCCCCCACTAGGAACCTTTGTTCGCAACTTTGGGAGTAACTTCTGGGCATGACTCTTCGTAGCTTTTCGTTAGAGCAGTTGTGAAGTATTGTATGTTTAGCTCTATATTGTTAGTGCTAAGTGTTACATCTGTCATTTGTGTATCGTTTAGTGTTTTGGTTAGTATTTTAGTGTATAGCCTGACCAGGAACATAAAAACCCTGGCATAGAGGCGCGTCAATTGCATTTGATAGTGCAACACTGAGTACAGTCGTACATGTGTTAAATTAATAGGCTAAATTTATGTATCAGGATTCAGGATTGCGGGCTAATTTGATATTTTCATAAATTAACGAAAAAATATGATTAAAGGTAACCTGCTTTAAATAAATTAAATGANAATTATTATTACCGTTAATCAAAAAACACATCATGAAGCATCTCCATTAAATTCAGGGAAACTAATTCAATGCATTAGGTTATTAGGTTCGTTCGTTCGTTCGTTTCAGCCAAATGACGTGCACTGCTGGACAAAGGCCTTCCCCAAGGCTTTCCATCAGTTTATAGGTATGTGAATTTATTTTAGTCTTTAAAATCATCATGATAACTTGTGTGGAGCTTCTGTTCCTAGCTTAGTTACCGCACGGATCACCTGATATTTTTGTGTCACAAATAGACATTTTTTGACAGAGCATGAGCTTTGATGGTTAGGTGTTTAGTTTCATGGATCCGGTGACAGTTAATAACCATGTTGGGTGATAATGAAACTGTATATTCAGTCGGATAGTTCGTGACGGGTTTAGAACTTGATACGTATCTATGTTAGGTATCTGATTGCTGTTTACGCATAAAGGTAATCTTTTTGATAACTATATAGCATTTGGAAATGACAGATCTTCAACAAGCATAATTGAAAGTGACATAAACTAAAAATAAAAACTACAATAAAGCTTTTACTGCTTTTCCAACTTTTGACAGAATTTCCTATCTTATTTTAAAATTTTTAGTCTTCTTTGCAACCGTTTTGTGAGGATTCTCACCATTGATGAAGTGTCTTCATTTTAGTATAACAACTAGGTAGGTAGGTTCGAGCAAATTCAATTGATTAGGTAATTATTAAAAGTCAATTTTGCCTTAGATTTAGCTCAGTCAATTGATAGAATTTCACTATGTATGCCAACAAAATGTAGTATCGAGTACAGTTTCATTGTTGAGAGTTATTCTAAAAGAATTACCTACATGCAACACTGTAATGAAAGTATTGTATTCTTACGGCAATTACTATAAATTAAACAACAAAGTAACCCTACATCAGTTGATAATTAAGCACATATTTTCGTATTGCCAATAACAGTATCTCAGGAACATCACCCAAATGTAAAGCCGGCGAAAGGACTCATCTGCTAAGACGATAATTAATTAATACACCCAACACTAAATTCATTGTTATTTATTCTCATGTTTAGGTCGCGAAGGTAGATCCATACGGTTCGATTATAATCGTAGTTTAAGTTCGTTCGTTTCAAACAAATGACATCCACTGCTGGACAAATACCTCCCCCAAGTATGTACTCTACATTCCGAGACCGTCACCAAATCGTCGGTCCATCTAGGGGCCCTGCCCACATTACGTCTTTCGGTCGCTACTATCGTGAACTTTTCTGCCCCAGCGGCCATCAGCCCCTCCCCGTGCCACTTAATTTTAGCAATTCTGCGGACTATGTCGGTCAATTTGGTTTTTCTGCGTTAGGTTTACTAATTATCAAAACAATATTGCAAGGTGCAATCGGCCCGTAATTGCTTTGTAGTTAATTCGACCGTAAAATTAAATTGTTAAGATTCTGATCAAATGGGTATTGGTGTCCTTGGCGGAAATGTATTGCTTAGTGTCAAATTGCACTTTAGAATGCTGAGATAGAATTAAGTCATAATTATCTTAAAATAGTTTGGAAGGGTTTTACCTTGAAATGAGAATAAAATCTGCGCAAGACAATACGTTTGCTCGTGGTTTCAAGGAAGAACAATTTTATTAAGTTTGATGCTTAATTTTTATAAGAATATAAAAAGTAAAGTTCATTTAAACATACAAATACGAGTAACTTTTTTAAGCAGTGTCCAGCGCGGTTAAAAGATGAACTCTTTCTGCTGTTACAGTTGCTGGTTGGACACATACTCGTAGGTAGAAGGGTAGTAAATCGTTTTATTATTGTTCTCAGTTTTTAGATATTTTTAGGCTTAAATCAACCAAATTGTTGCAAAAGTGTTTTACGTGTAAATTTTTTTGATGGAAAGGTGTGTAAACGAGCCTAAAAGATCACCGATCGAAGTCATCCCGTGTAAACTGACCCGCCCGTTCATGTTCACATTATTCCGCGTAGTTGTCGCGGTTGAAAAATAATTATGGCGGCAGTACGTCATGCTGCGCGGACACGAGCCCTCAGCGGATTATTAAGATGTTACCGGGCGGACGGGCCGCCACAAGGATGCGAATGGTTTGACGCCTTTGGCGAAGGAGGAAAAAATCGCAACTACTTTTAGAGCTGGGGAGTTAAGACCGGGACAACTTGGCTCTCACTGGTTCGGTTTTGACTGGCTGTCAAGGCTGTAGGTCCGGGCTACACAGAAGTTGCAATGGTGGGAACGAGAGATCGGAATAGAATTCTCTTCTGATAGGTAATGGGTGCACAAATGATATACGGCAATTTAGGCCTGAAGTACCGACGTCGACACATTTCATTAAGGTAAACGCAGTGGTTTCTTAACGTAGTTTTATCTGTCGTGCTTTTGCATCCAAAATGTATAATAAAGATGTGCTTTGGAACTAGGTATATTCTATATTGAAATAATAATATTGTATTATGTACTACATACATACTTATGATTATGACACAAGCAAAAGCTCGTGCCATTGAGAGGAACAATTTAGCTCACAATAATGTATGCCTGCTGTAATAATTACTAATTACTTATTGTAACTTTTGTCACTCGAAATCGCAAATCGCGTCTCAGTGGCGTACGCCAGTTAGATTTGCACATCTCGAGATGCTGATGGTAATCAGGACAGCACGACCGACTCATTTAATGCTTGTCGATTCGGATCCGATCGGATTTTGTCCGTTTTCGTAATTGAATTATTATTTTTGCGACTCGAGTTTCGTTGACAGATGGCGCGCAGGTAAAGATAATTCGTCTTTTGTTTTGTTGCTCGGTTTTGTTTTTGTGAGGGCGTTGATTTGTAATAAAAATATGACAGGCATGAGTGGATTTGGACCTTGTCATAATCTTTTAAAGGTTTTGTAACTTTTTATTTATACCTATTGATATTGTTTTACTGTAGTTACATGAGCTGTTAGGGCGAAAAGTATTACGCTGAGTTGCATCAACTTACTTTAACCGTAACTGTAACAATAAGCGGTCTTTTTTGTATGGAGTTTGACAGATTTTTGACGTTTGCTAAAGTTAAAATAAGATAGTGCAAATCAGCCGGGATGGTGCAATACTTACGGGTAGTTTTATGGGAAAAATATCTCATTATTCCCGCTCACTTGCTAGGCAAGCTTCAAACAATTTTTCAGCCTACAGGTTTTCATAAGCTGAACTAGATTCTTGTACTTTAATGAGAAACATTGTTACTTTTATTCAACGATTACCCACTTATATTAATAGCTCTATTCCTTTTACATGACTTTACACTTCCCTGTCCAGTACTATACCTCAAGTACATAATAAAAGGGTTTTAAACACCATGAATCATGTATGAGCTGATAGTGTTTATAGGACAAGGAACTCTGAGTTGCCACCAACCGCCGCTTGGCGGCGCCACTGGTTCGTGAGACCATTTCTGTTTTATATCTAACCACTATGACTCTATTCACTTATAATGGATTGTAAGTCATTACAATAAGGTTTGTTTTGTGGATTATGAGACGTAAATGTAATTTGGTGTTGTGGAGTAAAGCTAAGCACTACACTTGAATACATATTCGGTTATTAAGTTGATAAAAACTGTCGCATCCCATTTAGTACAGCGGTCTCACGATAGGAATATATTAGTAAACCGTTATGTATGATGTCACTGTTATTTAGGTAATGTTAGTTGGACTAAGGGCTGAAGATTTGTTGTTTTTGTTTGGATGCAATAATAACCAAGCCTGGTAGACATTAGAGAGTAGTATTTTTAGATTTTAGTATTTTATCTTTAAAAGTTACTACACCAATATCTAGCTTATGTCTCAATAGTCGTGTTGTATTGATTTACTGAAAAGCGTATCAAAATTAGTTCAGCCAAACGTGCGATAATTCTGAACAACATACGGGTTAAGGACGACAAGGTGGACCGAAGATATCTTAAAGGTAGCAGGGAAGCGCTGGACGCAGGCCGCTACCAATCGATCAACGTGGAAAGCATTGGGGGAGGCCTATGTTCAGCAGTGGACGTCCTATGGCTGAAATGATCATGATGATGATACGGGTCCTACTGAATAGCACCTTTTTTATTCAGCTACGAGAAAACTCTCCAGCAACCAAATCGTAGAGACAATATTTTGATGACAGTTGAATCTCATTTTATTTATTTATTCTTTCTTCATACTAGTTCCCAAACAACAATTCAGACTGTAAAGTTATATAAAATCCCACTTATTTATTCAATAAGCGTCCGTGCTGTGGGAACGATGTATAACCCACTTTGTTCAAGAGAAACTACACCTATTTATTTTATCAAGGTGCATCCGTATTCTGGGAGGGTTTTTCAATTTTAACATCAAGTGGAAAATTCAGTTGTTTGAAATTGTGTAACACTGAGGCAGGTTATAAATCAACTTTAAATGTTGAGCAGCAATGTGTACCTAAACTATCTACGTGATAGCAAATCGTGGCACACAGATAGAGATGGGGTGAATCAGATGCACTTTGGGGGAACTGTTAATTTTCAAATATACTTACTAGCAAAAGTATGGAATCACCCCTTTGTGTTTTGCACCGAGCGAACTTAAGAACTGAATGACTATGTATGTATCTGTGGTATCAATTTAAAGTTTATAATATTACCTTTAAAATGGTACCATTTTTATTTGCCTTCTATTGGTAATTTAGTTTTTGTGATCGCTCGAAACAAATAGGGTAATTCCATATTTTTGCTCGCGAGTGTATATGCTA